ACATGCTGCTTGCGACATTTTAGCCTTGGGATTCCGAATCTGGTGGCCTTCGTCTAGGACAATGCGACGCCATGTCACCGAGAACAGCCCTTTCTGTGCTGGTGTTGATTGAGGTGTGGTCTTGCTGTATGGGAAGAGCTCCTGGGTCATCGTTTGATATGTTGTGATGACAATATCGTACTCTTTTAATTGCTCTGGCGGCAACATCTTGTTTTGAGGACCGTGGTAGGTCAGAATTCGTGGCGCATACTTGTTCTTGACGTGCAAAGCGGCCTGCGTGCTCCAGTTGCTCATGACTGAGAGCGGTGCAATGATAAGGGTTGGATCTCCATTTTTATGAGGATCGGCCATGATGAGCGAAATGATTTGAATAGTCTTGCCTGAGAGGGCGTTAGCGAAGCAGACCACGGGTTCAAAGCTTCAGAGCAAAACACTTACCCAAGCCCATATCATCGGCAAGGAGTCCTCCACTAGCCAGATCTGGGGCCTTGCTTGAGGAGAAGTTGGTTGCAATATTGGTGTAATACTTGCCCGTCTTCTTCCACATCTGAACCACATCCTCAGCACTCTTGGGCAATGAAGGGGACTCATGGTCCAGCATCCACTGGAGGCCTTGTCTCTGGTAAGGTAGTAGCACCGTAGCAAGCTCGTTAGGCTGATCTGCCATGGACATCTTCGAAAGCACCTCTTCCCCGGCTCCAAGTTTGTTGACGACGCTCTGTACATCGCGGGGATTGAACACCGCAGTCCCACTGAGAAGTTGATCCATGCTTGGTTCTGTCTGTGTGCCCAAGCCTGGGTGGGCGCCCATGTTGCTATATTTGTTCGGTCCTTCGTTGTCAAAGACCGTCATGCCTTGCTTCCGCATTGCAGCGGCAGCCTTTTCTCTGGCCTTCTGCTGCTTCTCGAACTCCTGCAGGCGCTTCTTGCGTTCTCTTTCTGACTTGTTGTACTCTGTAATGGGCAGATGCAGATCTTGCATCTGGCGGGCCAGAGCCGCACCTGCAACGGGGTCGTTGGTGCCAAAGAGTTTGAGACCGATGGGACAGTCGTAGTAGGTCTTTGGACCTGTCAAGGCCCCTTCGACCAGGAGTGAGCCAGCGTCCATCAACGGTGCCAGTTTTGCCGCCACATTCCTGCCGATATGGCCGATTTGATCACGGAGGACATTATCGATTCTGATGGCATTGCTATCGTACTGATTACGGGGCTCCCGCCTCACCCTGACGTATTCTCCGACCGTGGCCTGGCCATCGTAGAATCGACAGCCAACGATCTTGGTATTGAGTATTCCGTACAATTGAAAATTCTCATATACATCGTCATCCAAGTCCTCTGTCAGGTCAATCTCTCGGGCGATATCTGCCTCCTGTTCCTGGGTAGAGCCCAGCCAGCTATCGTGTACGGCATTGCCGTGGGATCTTTGGCTGAATTGGCTAAGACTAGGTGTGTAATCTTTGTGTGTTTGTTTCGAGCGATGTGAGGAATTTCCGGGTTGACTTGAAGACGGTGGTGTTGGAAGGGTAGCGCGCCGTTGAGAAGTACTGAAGGATTGGGTCTTCTTGGGGACCTTGGACCGCGAATGATTCTGAGAATCGTCGTCATCGTCGTCTCCGGTGAGATCAACGATATCTGATGCGGGTTGCCACGGTAATTTTCTTTTGGACATGATGGTGTTGTTAATGATGATCAAGGAAGCACCTGAAAGGACGCGAATCTCTCGAATGAAGTTCCGCACAGGCTGGTAACGAGCAAAGGAAGCTAGAGAAAGTTTGCTAGGGCTGGAGCAAACTTTTGAAGGTGCTTCACGCCATAGGAAATGATAGAGCAGAATGGAGCAAGCTATGAACCGTTGAACGGGTTCTTTTTTCACGGCACATTGAAGCGAAGTTGGACGTCGCCCCCAAAGGTTTTGTTTATCAAATGACGCAACCGGCGCGTCCCCCCTGACACACTTCGACGCGATTGTCGAGCTAGAATGCTTCAGATCTACAACGATGATGAAATTATTGTACAAGTGGACTCTAGCATCATTACTGTACTTCTTACATGGACTGTGTGATGGTCACAAATATCCTGTCTGATTGTCAGAGCTAACGCATTCAAAGATCCTCCTCATCCGTGTCCAAGTCCGGGTCAATTGTCGGAATCTCGGAGTCACTGCTATCACTGTCGGGGTTTCCATTGGTCTCGGAAGAAACCATGTTGAAGACTGCCCCGGCAGGCTGGACTCCCGAGTTGGACGACCGTTCTTCTATCTCAGATCTTGTAGCAACTAAAGGTTTTGGCAGAGGGTGCTCGACTGCACTGACCTCTTCCATACTGTCATCCTCTAACCGTGGCACCTTGGCTAGTCTCGAATCCAACGATTCGCGGGGCTCGAATACCATCGGAGTATCTGCCCGAGAACCGCCATCTTGAACGCTCTGCAGTTTTCGCTTCCTCGCCGTTAATGTCTGTAACCCCCGCTCCTCCTGTTCCTCGGGACCGATGGTAGGCTGTTGTTTGACGCCAGCCTCCGAGGGCTCGGCAGTCCCCTCAGAGGTAACTGAAACTTGGCTGTCCTCGCCAGCTATGCCTGCCGTCTCCTGGACATCAAGGTGGACAGGTGGATCGCGAGCTTCCTGGGCAGGGCGCTCGTTAATTTGTATAACGGGCATTCGAGGTCTGAGAAGAGCCTCGGTGTCGAGACAATCTGCTGCACTCCTGGCGAGGAACGGAAGTAGACTGGGAGCCCTCGACTTTCCGTCTTTAGACAGCATTGGACGCATAACACTTGCCATCATGGCATCGTGATGATTGAGCAACACGGACAGTCTGTCTGCTTCTATTCTAGCTTGGCGTGATATCATCGGACAATGGGTCAAGATTGCTGGTAGTAAGTTCCAAGCCGCTTGATATACTGCGGGCCGCCTTTCAAGTGAGCGAAGACTCCCAGCCACCGACAAAGTAGATTTAGCACTCAAAAATCCATCCTTTGAGGGATTTTGGTTGCCGCGATCATCTGAGCCGGGAATAGCGCGTTGCAGGTCCTTGCAACAGTGCTCAAGTAGGGTTGAGAAGATGGTCTCACGCAACACCAAACCGGTAGTATTCAGCCTGCTCAAGAGACAACTGAAGGTGACATAGACCTCTCGCCTCACCATATCGTCACCTGTCATGGCCACAAATGATTCCACAACTTGGTTGACCATAGACTCATGCACCGAAAGAAAAGCCTGTCCGTAGGTCTCACATAATTTTTGTATCAGACGAAGACATGACACATGAAGACGAGGAAGATTCAGCCAAAGATTTCCCTTCTCTTCTCGACTCGTTTCTTTGTTGTACTTTGGCGTATCAGTTGTGTTTGACGCCTGCCCAGGTACTGTCACTGCCAGTATACGACCAGTCAGGTCAAGTATTGGGCCAAGAGGAACTGTAATAACTTGAGACGTAGGCGTTGACACTAGACATCCTAACCACGCAAGCAACGTTGCAAGCCTGGTACTACCGTCGTGCATGCCAACCCATTGACCCAACCCCATCGGATCAGTGCCAGAAGCCTTCGGCTCCTTGGAAAAATCTTGCCTCCCCACTGAGCTTTGACGAGCCTTGTCATTGACCTCGTATTCCTCGATGACGGATCTGAAAAACACGTTGGCAGATTGATGAGCGCTGTCGATGAGGTTGGAGGCTGTCTGCGACCATTCCTGAGCTATTGTATTCTTCGGTGTGCATGACAATAACAAGCAAAGAAGCTGAATGGTGAGCTCCCTCGTCGAAGTCGTAGTCCGAGCGTCTTCAAGCAGGTTCAGGCAAATCGGCTTGATACGGCTCAGGAAGGGGCGAAAGACTGTGGCATGCTGCGGCAACAATTGGATCCAGCATTGAAGCACCGATTGAAGCATGGGGTTGACACTATTGTCAACATGAGCTGTGGCTGGCTTGATGAGGCCAAAACATGCTGTGATAAAACCAGGGAGGAGTGGCGTTGTTACCTCCCGCAACAATACTGACTGTTCCTGGGAGAGAACAAAAATCCGAGTCACAGTAGCCAGATGGATTCTTTTTACTTCCAGTGGCTCATGTCTTCCTAAGCCGCTGATCAAGCCTCTGGCCCAGACATCCCAGTTCGAGAGAACCTTCAAGCCACCATTGTCAACAATTGCCTTGATGAGCACAGCAGCGCTGAGCCGGCTAGCGGTAGATTTGTCCTGCAGCAAAGCGGTGATTCGAGTCTTGAGTTTGTGGGCGACCACAGAAGAGCTATTGCCTTTGCTGTCTGAGGAAAGCAATTCGACAGGACATTGAGCCAACGAGGTCGCAAGGAAGCCGCATATTCGAGGAAGGTCTTCGGCTGGTGTTATACTCAACCGAGTAGTGATGGCCCGCAGAGCAGTATCATGTTGCATAGCTCCTATGGCTGTCGGACGGATTCTCGGGTCTTTAGAGGGTCGAATAGCATTGAACGAGGCCTGATACAAACAAAGTGTAGAGGTACTCTTTGGTTGTATAAAAACATGGGATCGACACACGTGGTCGTGGTTGGAGTTGGGAATAATTTTTTTTTTTCGAGGCAACCTGCCACTGGTTGATTTGCATGTCGCGCGGCCCCCAATGACCGCATCGCGCATTGTTAGCAGCCATAGCACGGTTCAGTCTACCATACACCTTACTCGTACTTCCTCATTTATCCCCTAATGCATGTGTCAACCTCATCTCCCGGTCTATTGTTCCTGGCGGAATGCCAGCAGTAGAGTCACGTCTGATGGAGCTGCTACAACGTGCCTGCAACCATGAACCGAGTATAGGACGCTGACAATCGCGAGTATATCTCGCGCGTCCCCCAGAATGAGTGTACACTGTCCCAAGCATTCCAGTCACAGTTTTGTATGGCTCGCTGACCCGGTTCTAGACGCACAATGAAAAAGCCCAGCGCTATATCGGGCTTCTAGACGCGGCGCGCGTGGCCGGCCACTGGAAGGAATTTCCAGAACTTATAAGAAAAGTTTCCAAGCATGCCCCTGACCGAAAATGTACGCCTCCTAAACGAGCCTTGGAATCCAGTCTTAACCCTCGAGGCAGGCTTAATACAGGTCGCTAAATTTGAACACGATGTCGCCAACTATGCCTCTACACTCGCCCGCAGACCCGGCACCGCCCCGTCGAATCAGCCTCTGCCAGACTCCCAAGCTACCTCTCTCGAAGAAGACCTCCGCGGCACGGGACATCCGTTTGAAGAGGTGGTACAAGGCCAAACATGCTTGCTTTGGGCGCGCTGGGTAGGCGCCCACAAATCGGACCGCAAGATTCCCGCTGTTACATTCGAACCCTTACGAACCGCAGCAGATGCCATTTCAACATGGACAAAGATCTGCGTGGTCAAGACGGTTTACATCAAAGGGATGTTCTTAGCACAAGCCGGGAATGGCAAAGAGGCAAATGAACTACTTGGCTCTCTACTTCCTTGGCTAGATGCCAACAGGAGCATGGTTGTTTCTACTCCTCAACTCCTTTACTGGGCACAACAACTACTCGGACGGGTTGCATTAGGCCAGAGCTCGTCAGTGACAGAATCTACGGACACCATTACTCCCGAGTCAGCCTCGTTCAGACTCCAAGCCTTCCGTCACTGGGCCGTGCTCGCGGTTAAGGACCAGGAGATTTCGGCATCGACTTATGGTAATGGCCCGGGACATTTGTCAAAGCTCGACATGTGGAGAGCTTACTATAGGTTCATGTCCAGTATTCTGCAAAACAGACAAGGAATGGCGAACCACCTCCCCATTGGACACTCTGACTTGGCGATCGAGTTGAGGAGGGTAGAGACATCTTATGAGAACGAGCTCTTGCGAAACGTTCAATTTCCCAAGGCTACTGAGTCCAACGCAATCATAGAGACCTGGGTGGAAGAATTTATTCTCAACTGGCAGATTCTTTGCGGACCCAATTGGTCTGACTCGGACTTGGGAGAAGGTGGTCGCAATTCGTGTGGCAGAAATGTGCTCGACATGCTTTATCGAGCTGCCACAAAGTCATTTCACTCTACCCTTATCTTACGCCGCTTGTTTCAAGTGCATAAAGCCTTGACGGACTTTGGCTTGGCTTACAAGGCTTTGGACACCTATATTGAGCTTATGGAACGAGCGCGGACTAGGGCTGCCAAGTCTGAAACTGCAGCAACCAGCAGAGACAGTGATGAGGTCTTTATGAAAACCATTGCTGAAGGTATTGAAGGCCTGTGCTCCTTTGGCCGCTACGCTGAGGCGGAAAAGGCACATGAGCTGTGTGATAAGCTCGAAGATCTCCTGGACGAACTCGAACCGCCAGCCACAAGTTCTGTTCCCAATGGCTTCGCATCGAGAAGCAACGCAGTTGTCAACGGGGAAGGGCCGGTCACCCCCACTTTGTCCGCCGACTTGCTGGAGGCTGCCTACCGAGCCATTGGCATAGGAAAAGCCCAGTGGGCTCGGTGGACACCTTTCAGTGAGGAACGGACCAACCTTCAGACCACGGCCATTGAATGTTTACAGACGGCGGCAGCACAAGATCTCCCTTCTGAAAAGCTACTACCATCCCTGTATGCACTAAGTCAATTGCTCGCGCAGACGCGAGACATTGATCAGGCGATCGCAACTGTGAAGAGAGCGCTGGCCTGGGAGACAGACAAGCTCGAGCAACACGATAACTATAGCATACAACGGCAACTGCTGCCATTCTGGCACTTGTTATCCCTCCTGCTCACTTCCCGACACAACTTTGAGACAGCAAGCCAAAGTTGCGTGGCAGCCTTTGAGCAATTTTCGCCACCAGAGACAATCTTCGGCGACTTCTCCAATGGTGCGTCGATTGGTGGAAGATCAGCTAGTGGGAGTCGCAAACTTGGATTGGTGGATGATATGGAGTGTGACGAGTTACAAAAAATCATCGAGATTCGCATCACTGAACTCGCATTGACAGAGCTGATCGAAGGTCCAGAGCATGCGGTCAACAACAGCAACGACTTGCTTGCATTGTACTCCCGGCTGTTTGGACGGTATGGAGTGATCGCTTTCAGCGAAGAAACGTCGAGAAAACGATCAATCCAGCCACCTAAAAGCTCGGGTGGCACAGTCAGGAGTCTTCCGGGCAAGCTGTTCCATCGAAAGAGATTGGGAAGGTCGAGTGAATCATCCAAAGGAGTGCCGATCAATATCGCTCCGTCGATAACGGAAGAAGTGCGGCCCAGTACTCAGGCGACCCAAACCACCCAAGCGCCGACTATCCAGGTAATCAATGAAGACGGAAAACCGTCACCGCATAAGCACAAAATATTTCATATCCATGAGCATGGTAAGGAAGGGAAGCGTCACTCTTCAGCACCTGTATCCACAAAGGGTCTAAGGTCAAGGCGGTCCAGGTCACTGAGTCGAGGGAGAAAGGAGCCAAGTCATGCCTCAAGTACGAGACAGTCTTTCGAAACTTCGCAGGATACAGTCCCTACCCCAGAGGCGCTGACAGGTGCTGGCCAACCCGAGCAACGGCCCCAGTTAGAAACCATAAAATCCGGCGATGTTCCAGAGGTGCCTGTGTCTCCAGACCACGATGCGAGCGAAGGAGCCAAACAACCCCTCAAGGAGATACCGCACAACTTGACATCGCATGAGAAAGTGCCACTTCCAGCGCAGCACCAAGATCAACCGCCACAGCAAGATGTGCGGCTGCCAGTCGTGGGGCCGGGGACATTGCGGACGGACCCTACACCTCGGTTCCCGCGCACTGCATCTCAGAGACACGCCCTGAGTATACTGGTCAAAATATGGCTGATTATTGCAACACTCTACCGAAGAGGAAACATGTTTGACGACTCACGGGAAGCTTGCGATGAGGCAGCTAAAGTGGCATTGAAGATTGAGGGCATGGTTGCCGGCGTGGAAAGTTCGGCACGCGCCTTCGGTGACAGCGGATGGGGCGGCGGAGGGAAAAGCTCAGACGAGCTTTGGGCTGACGTGTACTGTGAGCGAGCAGAACTGCTAATGGCTATTGCCCGAGCTCGCGAAGAGAAGGAAGGCACTGTCTTCTCTGAAGGGATCCGCGAGGCGGTGGACAACTATGAGCAATGTCTGATGTACTTTGCCGACCATCCGGGAGGGATCGTGGGTTTGAGTAATGTGCTCCTGGACTACTACGAACGCAAAGTAGAACTGGCCCGGCGAATCGACAATGGCAGGCCAAGGACAGAAGAGCCACAGCAGCCACAACCCCAGGATGAACCAAGTCGGCCAAAGCACAAACGCGAATGGAGCCGAATCTCTACGGGCGCCGCCACCAACGGCTGGTTCGAGATGGATGGTCCAGCTGCGAATACAAGCACCTCTGTGGGGACGTCCAACACTCCGTCGCCAAGAGAAGAGGATCTTAAGAAGACGCCGGACAACCTCAACAGATTGGCAGCTCGTGATCGGGCATATGGACTGCTGTCAACACTGACGAAATTAGGTTTGGGTTGGGACAACTCAGAAGCATGGTTTGCGCTGGCCAGAGCGCATGAACTGGGCGGCGAGGTGGACAGAGCCAGGGAGATTCTCTGGTGGTGCGTCGAGTTGGAAGATACACGGCCTATTCGACACTGGGGAAATATTGGATGTGGAGGGTACGTCCTCTGAGCGCGTCATATTACTGCGTGTCCTCGGTAGACCCTGATGCTCCTGTCATCCCCGTGTAATGCGAAATAACTATTACCAAAAACTCCTGCTAGTATCAACACGTAACAGTTTTCGAATGAGTCGCGACCCGTGATTACACAATTCGCTCTCCGTGCCCAGTACAGGCAAGGGATACTCGGTCACGTCGGTATAGCTATAAGCAAACTGGGGAGGCTGAGGTGGAGGCAAGGCACGAAGGAGGCCGTTCCAGGCCGTTGAACCAATCGCTTGAGGCAGAATTTGATCAGGCTTCCCAGTCGTATTCGTGGGTGCGGCCGCTGGGGGGCTGATGTGGCATCAACCAGTGGCGGCGTCCCCCAATTTTAGCAGCAAAAACCCGACGGGCCGCTACAGCCTCACCAGCCCCCTCTGGAGTGGTCATACCAGCCTGGCTGGAAGAGGGCGGATTGTCGTTACGTGCATTGGTGTGCGCACTCGAAGAGACATGGGTAATGAAGATGTTTCGATGTAAGAACAGAGAAGCGGCTCAAGCAGGCTCAAGCAGGCTCAATGGGAAGTATCGAATATTGAATGTCAGTCTCGCAGTGTAGAAAAGAATCCAATGTGGGATCGACCAGGTGTGCAGGTGCGCAGCCACTGACGTTACCCAAGCACCCAGTGAAGGATGGGCCGGAGCCTTGGCGGTGCCGCGTAACCTGCTTTGACCAGGCAAACTCCACAGGCAAAACTGGCCGGCAGTGGGCGGGACAATAGGCATACGTAGACACTCTCAACCTCTCATCCACTCACTCACCATGTGAGCCCCAAAAGTCAGATGGGAAACGGGAAACCTTGTGGAAATGGTCGCAACGGTATTACATCGCAATGGAGACCTACGCACATCAGTCGTTTGGCCATCGTCATCAACCGTTGAACCGCCCTTCTCAGGCCTCGAGGCACCTTTCCGCAGTCCGACGTAACTGCGCCATGATGCCACGATGCTCACTCAACTGCGGCCTTCGTATCGTCCTACTACTTCTACTACCCTCGTCCCGCTTTCTTGCTTTGCGTTTTGACTCTTGTGTTTCTGTAAAACCATTCACTGTTGTTCCTTATTGTTTCTGTTTGTTGCAGACTGCGTCACTCGCTCCTCAATATCACCCTGGGTGCGTTAAGCGGCTCTCTACCGTACATATCCTACAAACTACTAGGGCCAGTCTCGCTTAAGCCACCAGCCCTCGACGCCTCAAACGCCTCATCTTGGTCCCTTCCCAACCACTTATCACTGAATCCTTGGAATAGACAGACACTCTTTTAATTGTGACAGGAACCGAGGGGGTCTGTGTCTGATTTCTCCTTCAAGCAACACAATAATTCCTATTACGGGTGGTGAAACCAGCAAACCAGAATGAAACCCTCTGTCGCAGTGGTGGCTGCCGCTACATTGGCCGCCCCTCTAGTCTCGGCCATTCACCTCGCTCCCCGCTCCACCTCAAGTTCGCCTAGAACAGTCGGCCTGCCTATTGAGCGAAGACATGTTCCCGATATCCTCGCCCACGAAAGATCTCGCCTAAGGAAACGACAAACGCAACGAACTGTCGAGCAGACTCTGGACAATGAACAGTCCCTCTACTACGCCAACATCACGCTGGGGACTCCAGCCCAGTCGTTACGCATGCACATAGACACGGGCAGCTCGGATCTATGGGTTAACGTTGCCAGCTCTTCTTTTTGCGGGTCTAGCCAAGATCCCTGCGAGGGGGGCACGTACGACTCCTCGGCCTCGTCGACATACAAGCTCGTGAATGACCAATTCAACATCTCCTACGTCGACGGCACAGGAGCTGCGGGCGACTACGTGGCCGACACCTTGCAGTTTGGCGCTGTTACGCTGACAGACTTCCAATTTGGCATTGGGGAGACGTCCTCCTCACAACAGGGTGTGCTGGGTATTGGTTACATGGCAAATGAGGTTCAGGTTCAACGTGCGGGACTGGACCCCTATCCAAATTTACCAGAAGCCCTTGTCCGAGGGGGCCACATTGCCTCCAATGCGTACAGTCTTTGGCTCAACGACCTGGACGCCTCAACAGGCGAGATCCTCTTTGGCGGCGTCAACACGGAAAAGTACGAAGGAGAACTCGCCACCATACCCATAATCCCCAGCAACGGTGTCTATGCCCAACTTACCATTGCCCTCACAGGCCTGGTAAGCTCTGGCAGTGACCTCTCTTCCTCGTCATCGTTGCCCACGGCCGTCCTCCTCGACTCGGGCGCCACTCTTAGCTACTTGCCCAATGACATCACCCAGGACATCTACAACCAAGTCCAGGCTGTATATCAAAGCGATATCGGAGCTGCATATGCTCCCTGCAGTCTGTCCTCATCTACTGCCACCATCGACTTCACCTTCTCCGGCCAAACCATTCGGGTTCCATTCGACGAGTTGTTCCTTGACGCGGGGACAAACAACTTTGGCCAGCCCTTGACCTTTGAGAACGGCGAGGAAGCCTGCTTGTTCGGCATTGCCCCAGCTCAAAACTCGTTGGCCGTCCTTGGGGATACCTTCTTGAGGAGTGCCTACGTGGTCTACGACCTGGCCAATAATGAGATCTCCATCGCGCAGACCGTCTTCAATTCCACAGGCGACAACATCCAGGAGATCACGACGGGCGAGAAAGCAGTTCCCAATGCGACACCGGTTTCAAGTCCCGTCACTGACGTGTCTGCGGGCACAGGGGGAGCCAGGCTTGGTACTGCTACTTCCAGTACCCCGTTAGGCGATACCAACTCCGGCTCCCTGGACAAGGGCAGCGCACGACCGATGGCTGCCATGGTGGCTGCTGTTGTGGCCGTTGCCGCACTTGTCGTATGAGACGATATTTCTCTCTGAGCGACAAGATATGCCTGTGGATTAATCCGACAGAGCCGAGCAACCACAGACAGAACTACGACTATTAATGATTTCAGCCCTTGTATTATATATACATATACCTTGGTCCACACTTGTGGAAGGGGCGCCCTGATCAAGTCACGTCACGCCCACTGCGTGTTTGACAGGATGAAAACGGCATGAACGAAGACGACTCTCGGATGAGGGATTTTCCGAGCATTTTAATCTTGCGACGCATGGCCGAGCGATTGCATTGCGTGGGGTGTTTGGGATTTACTCGCGACAACTTTGAGCATTTTGCTGGCGTTTCTGTCCTTGCTACTTTTACGAAGGTGGCCGAACACGACCTTACGACGTCTCAGACATAGAACTTGCATGCATCAAAGCACGGCATTGGGATAACGATAGAACGAAAGGGGTTTTGCGCCCATGAACGGCGTGTGTTCTGCTTTTTTGCATTATCAGCGGACCGGGTTACCGGGTGACAGGGTGACCCCCCCCCCAAAAAAGGTGCCCTAGAAGAATCTACATCTATGAGTAGAATCGTCTATAGACTAGATAGACTGATAATACATACGTACATTCGTACTCTGTATTCTTAGCCGTGTGCCAGGTACAAATCACCTAGATACCTTATCTACAATTATCGGTACTGACATTTCTACCTCGTATAGTGCATCACATTACCGGAGCGTCCCGGCGATACCTACAAAAACACGAGCGAGTGAGTTGTCGTTCATTTTGTCTGGAAAGTATAATTATATTTTAGCTGGTGCGTGTTTGTGTTGGCTTTTTCGTGCTTCTATAAGATTTCCCCTTTGGGCAAGAGAGCCGCCTGGATCTCGACTCGGCCCTGTAGCACATCCCTCGCTTTCCCTTTGAAACATACATCAGGGCAGGGCGGCACCCACGCTCGGCCTCGAACTCCCTACACGAATGCCCTTTGCTGTAAAACTGGGTGGTGTGCCTCTACTTACTGGCGTCGTGCGCCCGCTGGTATTCGAAACGCTTCCGGCGGCTGAGGTCGAACGTTGCCGGTTTTCATTTCCGCTGCTACCCGCGCTGGCGCTTCCTGGAGCGCTGTCTCCATCGGCGTTTAGAGGACCTTGTTGCCCCGGGGTCGCAGGACGGCCGGTTAACCCGCTGTTCCGATTACGGATTGTGGAAACAGGACTGCTCGAGTCGCTGTCAAGAGGTAGTGCCCGAGAAGTCGAGAACACTGCTCGTCCAAAGCCGGGCTCTGGGGAAGCGTCATCCTGTTCGTGTTGTGGCGTTCCCATGGGACTCTGATCACACACTCGTAGCTGTTCTTGCTGCCTCTGTTGACTTTCAGTCTCTTGCTGTGTCGGTTGTGGATTTGCGTCCAGTTCAGTGTGATTCCTAAGCCCACTACTCGTCCCGGTGCCTTCGGTCATTCCCTGCGTTTCCTTTTTGGGATATTTGTAGTAGCTTTCCATCCACGTCATCGAGCTTCCAGGTACGGGTCTGTTCGGAGTAGGCGCGGCATATTGGTATTGATATTGCAAAGGGGAATGAGAAGGCGAATGATTTTGGCCCGGCGATTGGTGCAGATACTGCCTCTCTCTCTGCTGCTGAGCATAACTCTTTACTCGCGGGGTGCGAGGTGAATCAATCGCACCGTCAAAGTCTGAATATCCGCCAGCAGAGTCATCTTCGGACCAGTTCACGGCACTGCTATTACTGTTCTGCCGGCGGTGGAGTTGTGCCGTGTCATTCATGGAAAGAGCCAGAGCTTTTGGGATGCCGTTTGTTGTGCCATCTTGAGCGTAGTAGCTGAGCGCTTCTAGCACATGTGGGAAGACCAGTGTATGCACTTCCTGCGCCCAGAGGAAATCGAGGTGTTCGAAATGAGGAATCTCGGTCGCAATGGTGTGACGAGGGAGTTCCCTAAGCATAACACGGATATCGACCAGGGAGTCACTTCCCCCGTAGACCAGAACAATGGGCGTCTTGATGTTTCTCGTTGGGAACTTTGCAACTTTGTAATATCGGTTGCTGGCGCCAATGCTAAACCTGTTGGAGCTGTCGTCATCATACATCTGGAACGATTTGTTACGGATAATTTGGAACCAGTGCACGACAGATTTTGTGCTCGTGAAACTGTAAA